ACTTGGATCGCAAAGACCAAAGAGTAATTTAATCGTACGGTCTAACTAATTCCAATTCCATGATTTGCGGAGCCATTGGCCTCCTCCTTCCGCCATTTTCTTTTTCTTAGTTTATTTATTTATTTTTTCTAATTCAATTAATTTCGATATTTAACAGGTTTTAATTTTTTTTAAATTCCATCGTAAAATTAATTTTTAATTTTTTAAAAAAATTATTGAGTCGAACTGTTATAATTTTTTTTTTTTACTTACGAAATTTAGTATTCTAAAATTTTATATGTAAGGATCGTGAAACAATCATTCATGTACTCTATTCGTATATTCGTCAACAGATTGGAGTGGTTATGACGTGTTCTTTAAGAGAATCATTTTAGGTCGTGTATCATTTTTTGTTAAATTTTACTTGTAAAGGTATGTTTGTTTAAACGCGTGTTTGATACTTAATTATTTTTAAAAAAAATTTCTTAATTTTTTTAAATAAATAAATTTTATTAATTTACGAATAATATTTTAATTTTCTAAATATCTTAGTTTTATTAATTCATACGTTATAATACTTCTTAAATAATTTTAGTTTAATTAATTTTGTTAAATCATGTTTTAATTTTTTTAAAAATTTTGTCATAAATTTTATTTTTAAATTTTAATTTTCTTCCCCAAATTTTAATAATAAAATTAGAGATTCTTGGATCGTACTGTTACATTGATCACGATAAAAAAAAATTATTAAATTTTATAATGTGACATAATTTTGAATTCGAGTTAATTATATTTAAAATTAATGAATAATAAAGTTTATTCAAGTTAATAAACTTATTTTTTAGTCAAGTATTTATTTATTTTTTTAATGTATCGAAGCTAATTATTATTATTTTTTTCTGAATAATTTTAAAAATATACCCTGCAAATCTAATAAATTATATTCAGAAAATATATGGCTAGGAACACCCTAATGAGTGTATTAAATAGAGAAAAAGTGACAAATTAACATATCAAATAAAAGCTTCAATTTTACTTAATTATCATAAACTACAATAATTAAATATTTAATAAACGTAATCAACAATTCATAACTTACCAAGGATTACATGTCATTATTAATTTACTTTTTTTTAATAATAAAGTTACTATATATATATGTGTGTATTAAGTTTAAATTAATAGGAATAATTATATTTTATTGATTATAAAATTAATAATTATGAATTATAACATAACATAATAATTATTTAAAAAATAAAAATATTCTTAATTTATACTATTATTTTACTAAAAGTTAAAACACTATGAATTATTTAACTAAGTAAAAAGAATCCAGCAAATTCCGGCTTTAGTAAGAGTAGCGGTTTCAATTAAATATATAAAAAAAAAGAATTTTAAATATAATTACCGGCTCAGCCGGTTTTCCCGCTACCCTCACACTGAAGTCTAAACTGTCTTCTTGCGTTTCCCAAATTACCCCCTCGACACTCGACACACTATACATACCAGACTCCATTTACAGAGATCTCTCTTTCTCTTTCTCTCTCTCTCTCTCTCTCGCTTTAAATCCGTACTTCTTCACTCACTCAAGAGTAACGATTTCTTTGAAATTATCTGCTTGGCTGTCTTCAGAGCAAAACCCCCAATTTGCAGAAGTGGTTTCTTTTGAATTGTTATTTTTATTCGTCTTCTCTGCGAAAATTCTGAGGAGACCCACAAGGCGACGAATCGAAAGCGCGTGAAAATATGGTATGGATGATATCATCCTTGTATGCTCAAATAACAGTCCTGACATTTGCAGATTTATTGCCACTTCTACGATAATAATGATCATAATGATGATGATTCTTCTCTCTGTCTTTCTTTGTTTACGTTTAGGTTTAGTGCTTTAAGGGGTTTATTACCATTAATTTGAGAGTATAAAGGACTGCAGAGATTTCTAGTACTTCTGTTACTTCTGGGTGCTGGTACTACTCTGTTTTCCTCTGGTTTATTTTTTTTTCTTTTGTGTACTTTTTGGGTTCGCCATAGATTTCTCTCTGTGGAGAGTTCTGCGTGGATCTGATGATTTGAAGAAGAGCTTCTGCTTGGTTCCCGAGAAATAAAAAGGAAAGGAAAAGGAAGAAGATTCTGTCCGAGCATTTGCGATTTTTGTTGTATCCCCAAAGAGGAAGATTCGACGTACTCAACTTTCCATTCTCGGTGAGTGAACGGTTTCTCCAACTTGAATTTGAGGATTTTTGTTGTGTTTATAAATTCTTGTTTGGAAAGATTTTGTTTTAATTTGACTCCTGAAATGTTAAATCTTATTTCTCTTCCCGTTTTAGGTCTTGAAAATTAAAAGACTCTCTCCCAAACACAAATCAAAATCTACTTGACAGCAGCAAAGCCGCTAAAGAGTACGATATTCAGATTCCGAGAGGCATACCTGAAATGGGAAAGACAAATGGCAGCAGAGACTGGACGCAGATCTACGCAATCTACGGCATGGACCAGTGGCAAACTCTGGTGTTCATACTGTCCCATGCTCTCTTCTTCTCCATTTTGTCCGTGCTCTTCTTATTCTACTTCGATCCGATTTGCGGCTTCTTCGAGTCTTTCCTGCTCTCCAGCGCCGGCGCCGCACGCCTCGCCGCCGGATTCAGCGGCTCCGTCATGGCTCTCTCCGCCGTCTGTCTCTTCTTCGCCGCTGCCAACTTCTTCTACTCCGCCGTGCCGCTACACTACGACATGGCGCAGCGCATGGTAGGCTCGGTCGGCGACTGGTCCACCGTCAAGCTCGCACTAGACCTCGGTTGCGGCCGCGGAATCCTGCTCAATGCGGTGGCCACGCAACTTAAGAAGACTGGGAGCTCGGGTCGGGTCGTCGGGTTGGACCGCTCCAAACGGACCACCCTCTCCACTCTCCGAACGGCCAACATGGAAGGTCTGCTGATTTGCCTCCTGAATTATTACTGCCAACGGAAAATGAATAAATAATCACTGGATTTTATTTTTAAAGTAGAAATTGTTCAATTTAACAGGGGTACAAGAGTATGTCACGTGCCGGGAGGGTGACGTGAGGAGGCTGCCGTTCGGGGATAACTACTTCGACGTGGTGGTATCCGGCGTATTCGTCCACACCGTCGGGAAAGAGTACGGCCATCGGACGGTGGAGGCTTCGGCGGAGAGAGTCAGAGTGTTGGGGGAGATGGTTCGGGTGCTGAAGCCCGGTGGGGTAGGAGTCGTGTGGGACCTACTCCACGTGCCGGAATACGTCCGTCGATTGCAGGAACTGAAGATGGAGGAGATAAGAGTGTCGGAACGCGTAACGGCGTTTATGGTCAGCAGCCACATCGTGTCTTTCCGCAAGCCGAGTGAGGAAATTGCGGGGCCAGGGGAAGTCCGTCTTGACTGGAGATGCTGACTTGGAAACACGTGGGTTTATATTATAGGGCTGTTAGGCTGTAGGAGGAGGAGATATATTAATTAATTAATTAAAAAAAAAGGGATAAAAATTTAGAAGAAAATTAGAAATATACATATAAAAAAAAAAAAAAAATAAATACATTTTTTTTTTTTGGTTTTAAATTTTAGAAATTAGAAATTAGAAACGATGATAAAATCCACCATTGTCTGGGGAGACGAAGCCGAACCAGATGCTTTGATGGGGGATATTATTATATAATGTATGTACACACATATAATGTATGATGATGATCATGGTGATCAATACGAACATCGCTTAGAGAATTGATGGCTGGGGTTTTAATTAGAAATATAATAAAGAAATTAATAATTTTATTAGACAGGAAAATAGGACTGAAATTGAGTAATTAAATTCCATAAAAACTAGTTTAATTATGTAATTAAGTACTAATTATAATAATAATAATAATAATAATGAAGTTGAAGGGACAAGTGTAGGATTTAGGGGGTTTGTTTGGTCACCATCTTATAAATCTCTTATGGTTGAGTAGGATTAAAGTTTGGTATGGAATTAAATGCCTCTGTGTACACTCTCTTAATAATTTCAGTGTTATATTTATAAAATTACGAGTTTAAATTTTATTAAAAATTAAAAATTTTACTATAAAAATTATAAATTAATTTAAATATTTCATATATTAATTAAAAATATGTCCTAATATATAGTTTTATTATATATGTAATAAAATAGCGTAGAAGCGTATGTACCTATTGATATTTGGGGTCGGGCTATTACATACAGTGATTAAATCAAATTAAGCTTAATATTTTTATTTTAAGTAATCACAGTAAATTAAAATTTCGGTATATATATATATATATATATATATATATATATTTTTTTTTTGTTAAATACCAAGATACCAGCTTATACACTTTAGTGATAAAAAAGCTTACACATATATATATATATATATATATATTATGAACGAGCTACTTACACGTACTTGCTTTGTCATTAATTTTCTGTGTGTGTGTGAATTTGGTCATTGATTCCTTCCCTTTTACTCAAACGAAGAAACATGTATACAAATAGCCCACAGAATTATGTGAACCTCTCTTCTGCCTTTCCATTATACAATATGATTATTATATAAAATTATTTAAGTATTATAAAATAATGAAAGATTATAAAATTACCCATTTTTAAAGTCACAAATTCTTTACATTGTAGTTTCTAGTTCATCATATGGTTTGATTTTTCCATTATGCATATAATTAGTCTCTTTTTTTTTTTTGTAAAATTCAAAAGAAAAGCTATATATATATATATATTTTTTAGAAATGTAAAGTTTTGACGTGAAATAATACAAAAATCAAACCATAAGATAAAAAATTAAACCCTAATTAGATCAAAATCTTGGTCCCATGACATGACTAAATTTTAGATTCCTCCTGAATATCTGTTGATCAAAAGGGATTTTTTTTTTATTATATATATATATAGAAAAAAGAACATCTTGGAACTCTGCATGCAAGAAATTATGAATCAAAAGAGAATAAAATGGGAAAACCGATCCGTGCTTGACGTTGAATTTGCATATCTACAGTTTTTATATATCTCAACTTCAGTGATGAACTTTAAATGCAGCATGTGTTTGTAATCAGATTCAAGAAAGCTGAAATCCCCGTTTGCATTAAACTTGAATATATTTATACGTAAGTATATATATATGTGTGTGTGTGTGTGTGTGTGTCTGTACATACATACTTACATATATATATATATATATCATGAGAGATTATAAATGCAGAGCATGTGGGCGATCAGTATTGCAGCTTATTATGCCTTCCATTTATTTAACTATCTTCAAGAATCATGCTTTCTTACTTTCTGTCCTCAGCCCCGCATTCACTCTTCTATAATCCTGTTTCAATTTGAATGCATACATACTTTTAATAAATAATAAAAATTTTACTGTGTGTGATAATTATAATTGATTTATTAGACAAAATTACTAGATTAAGACCATTGCGTGTTGTATTATCGAATAATCAACGTAAAAAATGTCAGATGCCGAAGAGTGAATGGTTGTGAAGAGATATAATAAATGACTATACATATAGACTGTATATGTATATATATATATACATGCATATATTAGAAGAAATAAAGTTGGAATTTAGTTTATAAAGATATTTATTTATGGTATGTGGAGATGATGAATGCATGGAAGAGAGAGATGTACGTACATGTTCGATGGGAGGATGAGGTTGTTGTGTTGTCACCATCGCATGCAGCTCACTGGTAGGGAGAAATTAGAAAACACACACTGTAACAAGTGGGGGAGACGGAAATGGATATAGATATATGTATGTATATACATATATATATGATATTATGCGTTACAATCATGATGAATGATGCCTGACGTCTCTAGTAATATCAACCATCATACTAAAAGAAAAATAATTAATATATGGAATCAAAAAGTGATATATATATATATATATTTCTTGAGAAAACAAAATCAGTCTCATATAAAGTAGAAGTACAACGAGTCTTGTGTAAAATAATGAACATAAAGTAATATTGTAGTACTTTCAAAATAAACTAAACGACAGACAATAGAACTTCCCTGCGCCTCTTGTTATGTAATATATATATATATATATTTACTGAACTTTTAATGCCCACAAATCACAATGGAACAGCATTTTACCATATGGAATGGCGGATCCTGGCATTTGTGCAAATTAAAAATACAGCTTCAAGAATCTGGGGACCTGCCAATGCACATGTCCAGCAGAATTTAACCAGTTTTATTCGCCTCTCCTGGGTATTTCTTAGTAAGAACATAAGATAATATGATTTATATATGTAATGAAAGTACTGTAACTCTGTTTTCTTCATTTTACTTTCAAATTTCACTCAATTTCTAGTTTTACATTTTACTTTAGCCTTACAATAGTTAACTATAACAAAATTTTACTACTTTTATTTTAATTTTTTGACTGGTTCCAATTGGCGTTAAAATTAATATATATAAGATATATGTATATCTCTTAATTAGAGTAAGTTTAAATTCCATAATACTTCTGAATTTAATCTGGGTAGCTCCATTGAAGGCCTAGTACATAGACGATTGGATCCTCGGACATTTGCATAGAGACAGTCCTTTCAACTTGTCCCAGAAACTATAGCTGTAGAACACTTGCAATAATGATTATGAGAATTATTCCAAGTACAGTCATCCAGTTTTCCACTAGACAAGAATAAGCTGTCCCTACAAAAGATTCTGTAGTGGATACTGGGTAAGACCAAGAACAATATTGATCTCAATACTGATAAAAGTACATGACTTCTAAAAGTTCAGTACGAAGAAGAAGATGAGGATTGTGATAAATTTTCTTTCTTACAAGAATGGTGAAAGAAGATCGCAGCCACAAATGGGTTCTATCAACTTTTCCTGTTGAACCTTGATATTTTTACTAACATGTTTATGAGGTACGGTGCCTCCACATTCCAGCTTTTAGATTATCATTCTAGTACGCTAAGAGCTGAAGAGCATGTTACTTAAGGAAGAACTGTGTCGGATTAGGTTTTCAAAACAAGGATGGATTTGAGAAAAACAAGAACCAAAACTTTCTGTGGAATAAATTAAGAGTATAAGAAGCAAAAACATCAAACTGAGATTCTCATCGTCTGATCCAGAAAAAAATTCGAAGGTAGTTGATTGACAGAATCAAGAGTAGTTGGTACCCGGCATCCGACATATTCATATCTAAAATTCTTGACTATTACATCCTTGATCCTCCACCGCTCTTCGTAAATTACTGCCATACTCCTGTGCAAAATTCTCCGTCTTCGTGCGTATATGTGCATGTAATTGTGTTGTTTTGTATAAGATACGAATTTGTAGAACTAGGAAAAACCTCATATATTCATAATGCATGTACAGAGAAATTAAAGAAATTGTTTGGAGAATATCTAGCGTTTCCATGTAAAGTTCGACTACGGAATGTGAAAATCTGGATTCAAAGAAATTCATAACAAAAGATTTCAAACTAAAACATCGAAGCGCACATTCTAAATGTATTCGATCTTGAACTGCGAAAATGCTGACTCAAGAAATTCATGACAAAAGATTTCGAAACTTAAACATCAAAATTAAGCAATATCTCTGCAATCATACTCGTGGGTATATACATAAGTGGATAGATATATAGATATGCGCATGTCGCTGTAAAAATTTTCAGTTAAATAATTTTTCATAACTGAAGATTTCAAAAACGAAACATCAAAATTAAACAATATATATGCAGTCATTTATATTTTATATATATATATATATATATATATATATATATATCAAAATCAAGAGTAGTTGATATATACATACACTTATGCTCCAAGTGCATTTGATCTTGAAATCGATACATCAAAGTTAAACAATATCTCTGCAAATTACACTAACATATAAGTAAATAGATAGATACATACATGTATATTTTAAATGCATTCGAGTTTGGACTCTGGAAATGTTGATCCAAAGAAATTCACACCTGAAGTGTACCGGCAAAGAGAGAACCAACGCTTGGTTTTGAAGTGTATGTTTGATTCCAAGTTACTCGATTTATAGTTTCCAACCAACATTTAGTCACAACGGTCCCATGGTCTAGTGGTCAGGACATTGGACTCTGAATCCAGTAACCCGAGTTCAAATCTCGGTGGGACCTTTTTTGTTTTTTTTTTGTATTTTCATTTATTTTTAAATGGAGGACCTTCATTTCTTAATCTCCCTTTTCTTTGGTAAAATCAATGAGTTCTCTTTGTTTCTTCTTGTGAAAATTTGAAAAGGATATTAGAAATCAACCATTGCTTAATTATTACATTGATATTGAAAATGATATCAAATAAATAATTTGTCAAAGACTAAAGATGAAAAATACAATCTTTTTGAATTACTATGATCAAATTGTTCGTGACTAATATGTTTCCTAATTCGTGACTATACAATTGGGACGACTTTAAAATGTTATTAGGAAGAAAATTGCTAATAATCAAATTACACCCATAAAATTGATTGCAAGTGCTCGAAATTTTTTTTAATGTTCTTTCATTTGTAAAATTACTAAATCAATCAGATAATTTTGTTCAACTAACTAACTTATTTTATTATTAATAAAAAAATTGAGAACCTTGCGAACAGCTCCAAAACACAAAAAAAAAATATTAACTTTTCATAAATAATCAAACATAATGGTTGATATTACATTTAGAATAAAATTCATAATTTTCTCGTAGAAAAATAAATAACCTAAAAATTTTTAAACATAATTATGTCTTATTATTTATTTATTTATTTTATTTTTTTAAAACTATGACAAAATATCTTATGTTATTTTACCATTGTCTAGATTCTGAAAAGACATTACAGTAAATTTTGTATTGTTTTATGGAGTTTTCTAACACTTACCTTGCTTTTTAATGATTAAAAGTATACATACTTCATAATAATTTTAAAAAGTATAATTGGTCAAATATTTTAACATTATTTACTTATTTTACCCCTGTATAATTTTATTTTGTATATGTTCAACTACTATTTAATTTCTATTAAGAGACAAAACTGACTATATATACATATATATATATATATATATAATTACAAGGATTGAGTTTTTATTTCCACAACAAATAAAAAATAAAAATCAATTTCTTTTTTTCATTCACCAGAAAATATGGATAGAAAGGAACAGGAGAAAATCTTGAGACTCAGACTCCTTGTTACACATATATTGTGTATAACATACATATGTCTATATATATATATAGAAAGAAGCATGTCTTGTCTCCCCAGCTGTTACTGTAATTATAGCTTTTATGGAAGCTGTAAAATCAAAGGAGAGCACATTTCAAAATTATTTCTCGCAATACCCTTTGGTGGGGAACAACAACACAAACACAATGTCACAGGTACTTCTATAAAAAGAGCACAAGCAATCCGAAAAGTTCTCATCATGTAAAACATAATCATTTTGAGCTTTATCATGGCGCTTCGAATCGGAGCTTCAAGTAATCTTCTACTAATTCAAGAACTTGCTCAATTTCCAGACAGCATGACGTGATTCTTACGCAATTAACGAATTAGTACAAAATGTTATGAAAAAGAAATTACTATGGGGGAATTGTGTCTCCAAGACATAAAGATTTCACAATCATCTTTGGAGATGATCTCCCTCTACTTTCTATATTTGATAAATTCTTCTCTTTGCCCAGATAGGAAATCTAGAGCACAAAGCTCTCTGGACAGACTGCTTTTATTTTCAGCATATATATACATACACAGACATAAACAGATGTTATTCAGGGAGAGCAGAAAGAAATCATCGCTGCACATTTATGATACCGTTTTCTGGTTTCAATGGTAACGCATCATGCATCATAACAATGAAATATAACTAAACAAATATAACCACCTGCCTTCCGCAGCATCAATACAATCAATCTCGCTCAAGATTATTTTTCTATTAAAACAAGTGGAACCAACAAAAACGTATGAAGAAAAAAAAAAAGGCTACGCCTTTTTCGATCTCCATACTTTGATGAATGAGGAGTATAAATGTTACACTGTACAGAAGGAAGGGTGTTGCAAAATCACTGATACAGAGACCACCAACCGAACTGCCTAATCTAAATCTGGATTGTTTCTCTTTTTCTTTTTTAGTTTTGTTTGCTTTTCCAATAATTGGGAAAGCACAGATTTACAATTTTTAGAAGGTTGAACCAAAATTGGATAATGAATAGGTAGACATTTTGTATAATAAGCTAAATGCTTGACTCAGAAACTTACCTGATTAGTGGAGGAATACAATGATCTTAGGAATATATTATAATTAGATTGGTGAGGGACTATCATGTTGCGACACAGAATGAAGAGCTGAGAACTGGTGGCAAGACACAGATAAGGTGAGGCCCAGGAGGATTGCAGCTTATATTTGCCTCTGACACATCGGGCAATCCAAGTTGAGGAGGACGGACATAGCCGGCAATCAATGGCACACATAATATTGAGATAACTATCCTTGAACCTGCCATAACAGAGAATGATTAACTGACATAGTCAAGCGATTATGATATGACAAGCAGGACAGTACTTTGATTAAAAACTTGCGTAGAGATTTTTTTTTTAAAAAAGTAGATTTATAACCTTGCTTTGTGGAGAGAGAAACATGCCCTCTCTTTCTCCCAGCAATCATCCAATTCTCAGAATTGGCATTGACTTCATATAACACCTCATCCTGCAAAAGAAATATAAGTAGGAAATCTGAAGATGCACATGCATGAGAACTGCTATTTTCTAACAACCCGTGATAGCTTCTCTGCATAATCAAGAAATTGAATGCATAACAGAGAATTCTCAAAACCTCCTACTAATCCCACCTAGGACTGGAGAACCAGAAAAAAGAATAACTGGCAATTTAAAATCTGGCATCACTACCCTAACCCAAAAGTTGCTGGTCGTCCAATGAGAAAGAAAGCACAAAAAAGAGTTTCAATTTAACATCTACAGTTTTATGGTTTCCAAATGTTTGAGAAATTCCAGAAAAGGCCATTAAGCCAAATTGATAGGACATTTATATCTTTGAGGTCCAGAAGTACGGAGAATATAAAGAGTCAAGTTTCTTTTTGTTAACAAACAAAGAAAACCAGATTCTTCTCAGCAACAAAACAGATGGACTTGTTTTCCACTATTTGGTCAAAACAGCTACATAACCTCCTAACATTGACATAAATTATATATGTGGGTAGTATCAATGCCAATATAGACCAATAATAAGTTGAAGTTTTAGTAGCCTGAAATGCACTTCTATCATTTCCCTAAAGTTTAATGAGGATTGCCAACTCAAATTACTTATAATATGACACAAACTAGGGTTGAAATTAACTCAACCTGGTTCGAGAGACAAACCAAGTAACTGAACTAGTTAGTCAAGATTGGATTTTTTCCATGACTTACATTTCTTCGAGAAACTTCATTCCCCTCTAGATCTTTCAACCTTTCAACTCTCCATTTCATGTTAACAAGTTGCCCGACCCTAAGACCACCAGAAGGAAGCGGCAGAAATCCAACAGCTAGGCATGGATCAAGTATAGGCTGCTGTAAAGCAAGAGCACTTCTGAAGATAAGATCCTGCCTAGGAGTATCTGCTCCAGAGGATCCTGCAACAACTGGTGGGTGTGCTCCAGTGGTTCTATCACCATGAATCCCATATCTGATGTTCAATATACTATCAGGTCGCAGCTCCTCATTTTCACCTGTAGAAGAATCAGGTAGTTGTCCACATGTAAAATATTGCCAAAGCATTCAGCAGCAATAGTGACACTGACACAGACTTTGATGTTTGATTCTTCTATATCACATATTTTTCTATGAGAGACCAAAACAAACCAAGCTTGTAAAGAAAAAAGCATTGAACAGCTAAGAAATAAGGACCAACCTTAAGATAAATTGTTATAAAAATTAGGGGCATTCAAAGGAATGCATCCAATTAATAATATAGGCCACTAAGAAGATAGGAAGAGAGCTCCATGAACTAAATACATTAGCAATAACATATAATTGAGCAGATTCTTTTACCAATTAACTTTGGCTAGGACAAAAGGGAAAGCAAAATTCTTACCACTATTGTAAAAGAAAAAAAAAGAGTTAAGATTTTGAGACAGTTTCTTACTATCTCAAATATGATTAGAAGCATCAGCTCCTGACTAAACCTAGAATTACAAATTACAAAATTTGAGCTTTGGTTCTGAACTTTAAAAATTAACATAAAACTAGTCAATAAGCCAATATCTTGCTAATGTTGAATGTACTTTGTGTTTTGCAAGCTAATTATCATGCCAACAAGGGATATTACCTCTTGCAAGTGTCTTCCCTAAGCATATACTAAACAAGAGTCCGGCTCTAGAACTTTGAGAAATGACAAGCGGAAAGAAGCTTGAACTGGGTCTTCCATCACCTTGTCCGGTATGAACAAATCCATCTTGAAGATCAAGCCAAGCATCATAGACAGTCAATGTGGCCTTTACTTGAGAGTGTAGAATCACCTGGAAGTAACATGGACCAATGTAAATGCATAATATATATATAAAAAAAAAAATTGTTTTTGTGGTAAATACAAAAAGATAAAATATGAGATCACTAAATCTGTACAGTCACTATGAATTGGCAAAGGAACAATCCTGCAAACCCATAACCTAATAACTTTTATATCTCTTAATCTGGATGGATTATTTTTGGAAAAAAAAATATCCATTCACTGAAACTTATTTAAGCATTCCCGTTTTCTCAGGGTTTAAAGAACAATCCCTGGTCTTTTGGCTCAGCCAGCCAGTTTGCCTGACTGGGCTGACCTAGTCTGCCAGTTTTTCCACATATATCCTCACCCATACCAATCTTTAGTCCTGAGAGGACTGAAGACAAGTAATGTAAACCCCAGTGAACATGATTACTTTGTGAATATAGTGCTAACTTGATTGAATCATGAGATGAAACTTTTCAGGGTTTGTAACAAATATACCTGCAGAAGTAAAGTGCCATCATTGCATTTGTCAGCAACTCGTGTCATCACATGGAAAGGATCGGTAAAATGTACAGATAAGGTTATACACAAGTGAGCAGGGTGACTCAAATAGAGGTTAGACGTTTAAATGGAAAGAAGTAATTTGCATATAAGAAATAGAGGAATTCCGTGTTTTTGGGGGGGGGGGGGGAGGGGTGGGGGTGGGTGGGGCAATATCATAATCTGTAAGAACGATGAAAATAAATACCTATCAAATATCTGGTTGTGAGATACACCAAATTCAAGTTTCAAAGCTATTGTCCGCAATCCATCCACAACACTTTGTTTTTGTGGGTTAACTGTCCATTACATACAATATATTACAGATATTTCACTAGTTAGATGCAACAAAAAAAAAAAAAAACCATGCACATTATTAAAACCAGGAAAAAGTATACATCATAATGATTCACCTGAAGATGATCCCCTTGCAAGATTGTCATTGATTGCACGAACTGGAATCCACAAAATAGAATTCATGTCGCTTGCCCAATCTGGAAAATCTATTCTCCCATCATGGAGACTTAACCGCTCAAATTTTTTGTCCTCTGCTGCAGAAGAGTCATTCCCATTACTAATACAACTTAGTGTGTCAGCAGCACCCTTGGATCCGTTTACGTAGCTCTCTATTTCAATAGCAAGTGACTTGTCGATTTTCAGACCTGGACCTGTATCTATATGCAAGACTGCACCTTTAAGAGAATAGTTAATGGGTCGAGCTATAATGCCAATCCACTGAGCTTCGTTAATTAGCAAAGCAGATGATATAGCTGCCGAAAGATCAACCAAAGGTCTTGGTTTGAAAACCTAGTAAAGAGAACCATTTATCAGATATAGTAACACAAGAACTAGTAGGAAAATAAGAAGATAAGCAAAGAATGAGAATTAGACAATATTTCTGAAAGATATCACACATCAAACTTAGAAAAGTTAGCAGATACAAATATCAATTTAATCCCAAACTGTTATGAAACTCTTCCAACTGCCACATTTTATGCTTGAACATGAGAAACCTTACCTTCAAGATAGGTCTAGTTGGCTTTTCATAGCTCATGAAATCATCACTATCTGCAGGACCACCCTTGGAAAAGCTATGAGATCTAAATATCA